AATCAATATTATAATTTAAATTTTATTATTTCTTAAAAAACTTAATATCATTATTAAATTACATATTTTTTTCACTATTTTGTATAGAAAAATAAAAATATTTTATTTTATTTTTAATACTAATAATACATGCATGATTTTTATTTGGGGATTTATAAAATTGAAATGAATTTTTATTTTTTAAGGTAATTTCATCTTGGTTAATTATTGTATTTGACGAAAAAATTTGAACTTAAAAAACAAAATGTTGTAAAAGATAAAAATATATGTACTATATTTAACATTTTTCAAAGTTTAAGGGGCAGCTTATCAACGGCTAGAAAGAATTCCGTTAGTCAGTTAATGGAATGTTTGTCAAGTAGACCATTTTGAAACAAAATTGATAGTTTATAGATCATTTTGAAAGAAAAAATTGTTTCTAGATTAAACTGAAATAAATCACATAGTTAATAGACTATTTATTGAAATTAACCTAAAGAAAGTAAAGCAAAGGCCACCAACAGGGCCACAAAAGAACCGGCAGACCATCTAAAATGATCACCGGACATAGGAGTACGGTTGACCGGCTCCACCATGCTTGAGAAGCCCTCTGGCTACTCAAGCATCAAAAACTCGAGAAGCCCGTAGGCTTCCGAGCACTCAAAAAGGGGCGAGATCTGGAGAGGTTTAAGGTAGAGGCTGGAGATTTCTAGAGAAGAAAGAGAAAAGGGAATGTGTTTAGTTGAGTTTTATTTAAAGTAATTGGACACTTTAGAACTAGGCTAAAATTAATAATAATAATTTCGTATGAGCTTGGTGTATGAGTTAAATATTTAAATTGCGTTTTATTCAATAACTTCTTTAGTTCTTAATTTTTCATGAGGAATGGGATCCCTGCAGAGATTTGTGGGTGGATAAATTTCACAGTGAAATTTCAGAGGGAGAGAATGCCTCCCGTCCTTGTAGCAAGGATCCTAACAGGGTCCTGCTAAGATTGGAAGAAATATTTATCACCCTTATGTTTAAGGCATTTGTTACTATTAAATTTGCATAAAAATCCGAAGGATGCTCTAAATCAAGGCCAGAAAAAGGCATTTGCCCAAACAAATAATTCTTTTATCATTATTCATTAGTGAACAATGAAATATATATGTCAAATAATTACAAATATGTATTTGACATTTACTTTTGATTACACTTAATTTTATAGTAAATCTTTGAAAATAAATGATAGTTTTTACTCATAAAAGAAATAATATTCATAAGAATTAAAAAGTTAAATTATTTCATTTTAATGTTTCCGTGCCCTTATCTAATTTTCACTTTTTTTTTTTAACAGTATGAAATGATATTAAGATAAGACATACTACAACTTTAAAACTGAAGGCAGAACCAATTAATGCATAAATTAAGATCGTAATGGGCGAGTGCACTTTTGTTGTATGGCCAGAGGATGAGCTGTAGATATCTGGTTCGGTGATTTGTTCAACTAGTGGACTTGGCAGACAGGTTGGCTAGAGTGAGTGGGTTCGGATTGGTTATCTAAAATTTTAGATTTATTTGATTAGGTAATTTCGAATATCAGGTTAAGGGCAGTAAATCAACA